CTTTTGAGCACCAGACTCATATTTAGGAGACATAGTGTAGGAGTGTATATCTAATGTCCAATGATTAACCTAAAATACAATTACAAAATATCTCAATCATCTCACAATTATAATTTCTAATATAGTTACTACGTGCGCCTGTGCAATTGTTTATCCTTCAATAAGCGATCATATAAACCGACCAGGCTGCAATTATATAAGCCGACAAGGTTTCAAATATTTTCAATCTCTTCAATAACAAGTTAGAGCAAACCATTACTTACTTGAGAAGTGGAATTTTGATGAAAATTTTGGAATTATACCCTTGAGAATGATCCCTTTTTTGAACTCGGAGTAAGCCGATCACAATTTTAAATTTTTTTTATTGTGTCAACTATGCTCTAACATAGCAAAAAGAAACACGTAAGGAAATAACAAGTATATGATGGATTAAAATGAAATAAATAACAAATATATAATGAATTATAACAATTCAGTTTAGTTAAAACATGTGATCAAACAAAAATTCGTAAAAATAATTGGCTAGAATCATCAATCAAGACTAATGCATTCATCTCGTGCTTAAAACATACTGGCCATGTAATCACTGGCATACTATTCACTACACTTTCAAGAATTGCATTCCACCCACACTGTGTCACAAACCCTCTTGTTGAGCCATGACTCAAATTTGTAATTGAGGAACCTATGAATCCACAACTAGACCCTAGGTGGTTGCTGATTTAACCATTCAATACATTTGGATCCAATATTTGTTTCACTAAACACATCTGTTTCCAACTCCAGAAAACTATTAACAATGATTCCATTAGTTAATCTATACCTATTGCACAAATCAACAATCCATTTATAAGCATCATTGCTCTTATCTCGTATTGAATGCGGTATGTCTGACCCGTGTAATGTTAGAGAACCAGCTAATTCAACCATTTCCTGTACATTTCCATACTCGGATAAACTGTTACATGTGCCCTTTCTTTTTCTTTACCTCATCATACTTTGATCAAGCAAAAATCCCATAAAAATAATTACTTTAACAGTTTAATCACCCATTTTTTTTCTTCACCTCTTCTTTGTTTCAGTAATCAGATTAACATAAAATCCATTACACGATTTATCAGAAAATAAAAATCCCTTAAGTAAATATTCTCAACCTGAAAATGTTAAATTAGATAGGGTAATAGTAATACCATAATAGACAGACTAATAGGAAGTTAGGAACCAAAGTCTTTTTAAGTTGTATCAACTATCAATGGACAATCGAAAATCAATTCACATTGAAACCCCTCAAAATTCCAAAAGAATTGCAGTTACCGACTTACCGTTCTGTGACCGAGAGAGTGAGAGCGACTCTATCAATTGATGCTCATTGCCCAATAAACTAATATCAACGATAACGAGTATCGGCCTGCAAGGCTGCAACTGTCCAAGAGGCAACAGGCCCAAGAGTTGCAGCAATGCTGCAGACTTCAAGTCTTCGACGGACGAGGAGCAGTGGAGCAGGCGCTACTACAGACTTCGAGTTCATTTGACGGGTGTATGAAGATTCAAATTTCAAGCGGCCGGTGAAGGGCGGAGGTGGACTATGGTCTGTGGAATGATCGGACGGTGACGAACAGACGGAGACGACACAGGCACTTAGACGAGCACATCGAGCATCCCCGGATCATATTTTAGATTTTGAGAATTTGGGTAAATGGATTGTGGGTATTAGATTTGGATATATAAGTTGGTTGGGATTTAAGGATAAATATATTGTTGGCTATTGTTTTGTTGTTGGATAATTAGATTTGGGTCGGCTCACATTGTTTAAAAAATAAAAATAAATTTAATTGTCAAAATTAGGCCCCTAATGGTCTTGGGCCTGAAGCTCAGGCCTCATTGGCCTCGCCTCAGGATCGGGCCTGAATACACCATGACCCTTAGGAACCCCATTCTTCTAATTTCCGTCTTATATATTCGCATTGTTCCAAACAAAAACACACCTTCCATTAATCATTCCATTTTCCACTCCCCTTTATACTCATTCCCATTCTTCAAAACATATCTTCTTTGTCCATCATGTAAATTCTTTTTCTAGTGTCCTTCATAGTAATCCTCATTACTATAATGCTCCACTACATGCCGTGCTTTAGATATGAAGACCACGACTCCCAGTACACATCTCCATCAGATCCAATGAAAGTACTCAAACCAACCATAAGACCTGACTTCAAATCACCTTCAAAAGTCATATTGATGGCCATGAAATTTTCCCTTTACCACAGGCTTTCCCCTTCTCCAGTGACCTTTATGCATACACCTAACTTTCCACAAATACTATCTGAATCCATGAGGCAGGAGAATCATTTTTTGGACAATTATAACTCTCCCACAATTCAATTATTTCAATAATACTTTACTTTTTGTTTTTCTATATCTACTAAATACTACATAATTATTGTCATTTATGAAATTTGTGTTTATTAGTTGTCAACTAATTACATTCACATGAACCTAGATTAAATGAATTTTCACTTCATGAATCTTGAATTATATGAATCCAGAGTTATTAGAGATGAATTTATTCATATTCATGTATCTAGAAATTTTAATAGGTGTTTAAATTTATGTATTAATAATTAATTTTTATGTATAAGATGTAATATAAAAAGATTGCTCATTTATAGTATTTCATCATTATTGAAAATTTGAATCATACAAATTGAGTTTTAGAGTACAATTTGAGTATAATTTTATTCTTTTAAATTTCTGTGCTAAATTTTACTTTCTTTAATCGTCCGAGATTCATCAAATCGACAACAAATTGGTACCAAAATATTACTTTTACATCACTTAGTATAAAGTATTTTAGAATAACATGCAATGCATGTTCAATTTTGACTAGTTATTTGCAAAAGTCCCAAAATATAAATCCCTATTGGAAAGGTGTTTTTCAAACACATCAGCTGCATTTCCCGAGGGTAAAACAGATGCAGGGGTAACTCTATGGCTTATGACTTTAGATTTGCTTCTTTGTATAATCATAATCGATGTATGATGGTTGTTATAGTATTAGGTGCCATCTCTAATTTCTCTTCATTTTCTTTCTACTCTAATTTCTTATCATTTTCTCCAAGCGATGCTAGTCTAACAGACAACAAAGGCTCAGGCATATTTTCTTAAGCATAAAATATATATCTTTATCTAGGACTAAATAGTTTTTCTGGGATCATCAACTACAGTTTGAACAAAAGAAATCGAAGAAAACAAGAACATTATTTTTTTATGAAAAATATCATTTTTTTTTACTCAAATTCCTACTTGAGGGTATTTGATTGACAAATTTTTCAATGAAAAATATTTTCAAACATTTGTTCA